TGAATTGATAAGATATTATACCGTTAACTAAAGTGCTTAGTATTTGAGAAAATTCTTCGAATTTCTAGATTCGGTTTAATCACTGTTCATTGAAAGTAAGAAATAGAGAATGTAGAACGAATTCAAAACTTTAGACATTCAAGAAATACTTCACCTTACAACCGAAGCAAAATTTAGAGTTCTGACAGGTCTAAAATAATCAAAAGAAATCGTCGATTTATCATGTTTAAGTGCACGATTATCGTTTCGATATACGCGATTAATCGTCAATTTGTTAACGATTTTGAGGACATGGGAAGATTTTTTACTTGTTCTACTGCATAAATATTTGCACTATTATTTCTAATATTTGATATAAGTTCTCAAGTTTCTATTATATTGACATATTAATCTATCATATAGCATATAAAATTCTGATGTGTGTCGGTTTGTCATCAGATCTATTGAATAAATACATGTCTACAAAATTTTGTTGTTAATTACAAAACGTTTTCAGTTATATCACAGTGGGAAGCATAAAGAAAAAAAACCTAAACGGCATAGTTCGTGAATTTGCAGCTGCAGAGTTTCGAAACAAAATTAGCAAAAAAAACAGACAAAGAAGGACCATTCACATGTTACGATATAAATATTTTTTACTTCTGTTGCCGAATTTAAATAGGCCATAGATGTTCTTCTAACGCATTTTGTATGATGAGTTTGTATCAGTGAACATCAGTAAGTAGTATAGGACACTGATCAATCCCTACTGGTCATTGATTGGAACTATTGAAAAGAACTTAGATATATATTTAGCAAATACACACAAATTTATTGATTTATTGTCAGATATACACAGGTTTTTAATGCTTTGACAATTATCAATTCATTTAAATCTAATTACGATCGTATTTATAGTGATAGGCTGCAAATGTTACAATAGTAAACAAAAGAAGAAAAACGAACGTTTCTTGCAGTTATAATGCATGAAATGCACAATTTTTTGTTCTTTCTTGTATAAAATTGCTTAAAAACATAAATTGTTTTGTTCGCGATTGTAACGAAATATACATCACTGCGTCATTTCATATAGGAAAGAAAAGAAAATTGCACATTGCGTACAATACACTGGTAATATATTTTCTTTTTTCTATTTGGATTACTATCGCAACGCGTGTGGCCCGCCAATAGTGTTCCTCTTGTCAACTTTTCTACACCATAAAGTTGTATTGTGTGTGACGCTTAAGATACATTAACGCGCTGTGTTAGTGCTTATACACAGAAAGAGAAATTTAAATTTCAATATATTATCTTTATTGAAATCGAAGATGGCTGTTCGCGCAATTAATTCTACCGTGGAAAGATCCCAAGTACATTTTATTTCAAATTCTATAGTCATTTGGCTCGACTCAGATATATCTGAGATGAATGACTTGATCTCTAAAATGCGTCGCACTGTCTACTCTCTTCGAACATTTAGTAAATCTGAACTATGTATCGATTTTCTTACAGATGCCAAAGATCAGAAAGTGTTCTTGATTGTATCAGGAGATCTTAGTGAAATGGTCTTGCCATCCGTTCACGATATGCCTCAACTCGATTCCATTTATATATTTTGTAACAACAATTTCAGGCATGAACAGAGTGGGTCAAAGAGTGGAGAAAAGTGAAAGGCATTTTCATCGACATCCCATCTACTTCTGATCAGCTCAAATGGAATACAAGGCGATGCGAACAAGATTTAATACCAGTTAGTATTATCTCGGAATCGTCGGTCATTGATTCAAATGAACTCGATCAATCATTCATGTACTCGCAATTGCTCAAAGAGATACTACTTGATATCGAACATGATGACAACGCAAAGAAAGAATTTGTTGACTTTTGTCGTCTACATTATTCTGAAAATACTATTGAATTACATTTGATTGATGAATTGGAACGAGATTATGATCTTCATTCACCCATTTGGTGGTACACAAAAGAATCATTCATCTATTCGATGCTCAATAGAGTTTTAAGGACACAAGACATTGAAATTATCATAAAAATGCGTTTTTTTGTTCGAGATCTTCATCGACAACTTGAACAAGTTTATTTGGAGTTACATCAAACAATAAAAATGATCATCTATCGAGGTCAAGGTATGTCAAATACGGACTTTGAGAAATTGAACAGAAATAAAAATGGTCTTATTTCTTTTAACAATTTCTTGTCGACAAGCACCGACCGACAAGTCTTGTTGGCTTTTGCAGAAAGTTCTGCAAGCAATCCTGATCTTGCAAGAGTTCTATTTCAAATAGAAGTTGATCCATCAATTTCATCGGTTCCTTTTGCTTTGTTGGATAACATTAGTTATTTTTCAGACTCAGAGAAAGAAATTCTCTATTCAATGCATACTGTATTTTGTATTTTGAATAGGCGATATAAAGCAGATCGATGAGAAATTGTGGCAAGTGAATTTAACATTAACCAGTGACAATGATGAACAGCTGAAACATCTAACGAAGCATATTCGAAAGGATACTCGAGCACCAACAGCGTGGCATCGACTAGGCCAATTATTGATGTGCGAGATGGGTGAATTTGGCAAGGCGGAAGAAATTTACAAGGCGCTACTAAAGATGACACCCAGCAAGAATTGGGAAGAACTCGCCTATCTTTATCATCATCTCGGATACATTACTAATGAGAAAGGTGATCTTACAGATACAGTTTTTTATTACGGGCGATTTCTTGACATAAAATTGTCCCATCTGCCAGCGGATCATCCTTTTCTTATACCTACCTATAACAATATTGGCGTTATCAACTGGAAAAAAGGTAATCTCGACATGGCATTGACGTGTTATCAGGGTGCCCTCAACATTGATCTTCGCGCCCCAGAGCCTAATCAGCTGAACATTGCTCTTCGACATAGTAATATTGGCGTGATGCTTGACGAGCAAGGCAAGTATTCCGAAGTACTCAAGAGTTTTGAGTGCGCACTCGAAATTCAACTTAATAATCTTCCACATGGTCATCCAACGCTGGCTAACATCTATCACTGTATTGCTGGCGTTCATCAATCAATCAACAATAGCTCTGACGTATTACAACATTGCAAATGTATTTTATCGCCTCGAACGATACGAAGAAGCTATCGACCACGCACTGCGAGCTATCGACATTGCCCAACATACATTCGAACCAACGCATGTTCAAATCCAAATGTATCAGCAAGGTCTTGATCACCTCCGCCAAAAACTTTGATCGTTGTCTTGTGTATATGCCCTTTTCGCGCTAATATTATTCTGATATTAGTCTTTTTCATCTATTCTATACTTGCTTGTGTAATTTGAAAATTCAAGTCTTTGATGAACTGCGTATTCAGGATTTTTTTTAAACTGAAAATTTTAAAAAGGATGAATAAACTCACGAGGAAATATATTCAACTGTCGGAATGCTTTCGAGCCAAGAGTGGGCTCATCTTGTAGAGCTCAGTGAACTATGTTTATCCGAAAAAATGTTCGGGTACCATGACCTGTTTCCGTGTAGATCAAATGTTCTCAGTGTTTTAACTGAATATTTCTATGATATCTCAATCACATTCTATCAAGATGATATCCAGTTTCGATAAAATCTTCAGCGTTTCTAGAGATTTTAATTGTCAATATTCACGTAAAAAAATTTCTCAAAACGCTTTCGTTTTCATAGAGATAGACTCAAAATAATTTCAGCAAAACATATTCAAAAACTCTCAAAAAACAATACCTTGAGACTTTCTCGGTTTTTACCAATTAAAGTGTTTTGAAAAAATTTTTTCATGAAAATGCTTAAAATTAAACGCTCTAGAAATGCTGAACATTTTGTCAGAATTGGAGATCATTTTGATATAATGCCGTTGAGATATCATAGAAATATCCAACTTGACCACTAAAAACATTCGATCTCCTCGGAAATAGGCCATGGGCCCGAACCTTTTTCAGGATAAACATAGTTCATTGAACCCTATAAGATGAACCCATTCTTGTCTCGAAAGTGTTCCAACAGTTGCGCGTGTTCCCTCGTAGACTATAAACATCGATCGATTCATTTGGCCATTTTGGTTCATCAGAGAATGAATAATTGGACTAAAAATTGATAATCAACAAATCAATTTTTCAACTCATTAATAATACGTACATCACGAAAGTCTGTTGCTTCAATTAAGTTCATGTTTATTTTCAAGAAAGCTATGGCTTGATTTCGATAAAAGCACGGAGTCAACGCAACATTTTAATATTTCTAGTCAAAATACGACTAATGACTCTTTGATTCAGTTCAACTCAACAATGGAATTTATAATCACAGATTACTGTTGTGACGAAAGAACTCAATCACTCATTTATCATTTCAAACCTACCTTTATTGCTATTTCATTCACTAGTTTACACATCAATTGCAAGATGATTCGTATTACAATATTCATTAGAATCATAGATGTTCCGGAGCATACATATATCTTCAAACAAAATTGTGAATGTAAGTTTTAGGTTGAAGTTTTTAGCACTCCTCCCCTTTCTACTCCCAAAGATATGACACAATTATCTGTTAAATCAGATGTTGGAAGAATAAGACATTAAGAAAAAACGAAATAGAAAACAATGAAATCAACAATAAAAGAACAGCAAGAAGAGAAATAAAAAACAATTAAAGAAAAAAGTCCTGTTTGACATGCAAATATAACTAAGACAGATGGCTTTTCAGATGATCGACTATTCTCAGAAAGCAATTATCATCTTGGGGGTGGGTGGGTGGGGGTTTCAGTCTCTTCATGCACAGGCACACTCCATACCCCACCCACCCACACTCACACCCATACTCACATACTCAAATGAAATATATCAGTGTGTGACTTACAAAAATCTTGCTTATGTTTATATTTTAAAGAATAGAAGAATGAATCAATCATGTAAATATATTTGTTCGAAAAAACTGCAAGTAGACCTTATCGAAGGAGATGTGAATCGATTTGCTTGATGTTTAACCAATGAATAATCTTATTTAGGTTTGTTTTCAATGAAAAATTCTTTTTCCCATAAATGTTGATCAGCTAAATTGATTGCCTATGAAAACAACGAAACTAATTATTTTAATCATCTATTAATTCTGATGAAAGATTTTTTTACCAGTAGTTCTTGATATTCTTTGTCATTCGAATGTAATTGTGTTAAAATATCAACATTAAAAGAATTATCGACTTCATTTTCATTCCTATTCGATTTTTGTTCAATTTCACTACTACAATTATCACATTCATTATTATACTGTTGTTGACTACTTTCACTAAAGGCACTATCAATATTATCTGGTTTTTGTTCAAGATCTTCTTCATGAAGTTTGTTAGTTGTTGTTGATTCAGTGTCAACACAATGACCAACCCATCCAGCCTAATTAAATGTTCTTTAGAAAATAGATTTAATTGGAAATTTCATTGAGTGAAAAATTACTCCAAAGATAAGTCTATATAAACACAACAGAATACCAAAGAAAATACTTATGCATTTATCTTACATCTTAGATTATAGATGTTTTAGTGAATTTTTCAAAAACTCTGTTGTATATTATCTGAGACTATCTTCGAAATTAACTTAATAAAACTATCAAAAGTATCAGATTCTTTAGCATTATCTTTTCTGAGAACATTAATATAACGGAAAAAAGCGATTCCAAATTTTTGATTATCAGAACAAAATATATTATCTAATGATGAATGTAATATTAGTGTATACCACTGAGATCTCAATAGCAAGCTTCACTTCCGTACAGTTTAATGGTAGATTGCAGTAACAATTACACCCTTTTGTTAATATTTCAACGGTATATAATAGAACTTGAAAATGCATATATTATCAGGTATCGAAAATCCTCCTTTGCAAAAGCTACATAAATTTCTCTTTTAATGTCAAATACATATTGTTTCCATTTGTTTTTTAATTATATTTCATAATAATTAATATCAGACAATCAGAGACTTACACTTGTTTTACACTGAGAACTTAATTATACAATTTTTGTATATGAAAATTGATTTTGCAGATGATCAAAAATGAAACAGAATATTTTGTTAAAAATTTTATTAAAATAAACAAGTAAACAAGACAAACCTATACTAAATAATCGTTTTAGACTTTCTCCAGTCTTACTAGAACCTATCTAATGGTATCAAATTCATTTTAACAATAATTTATTATATATGGAAGTTCACTTACTTGTCTTAATTCAATAAGATCTTGAATCATTCGACAAATACGAGCTGATGTTTTCCGTTCTTTAACAATAGTATCTAAGTCACTATAGTAGCTATTCAACCATAATTTGTGTTTAGGCTACAAAAGAAAAGAAAAACAACAGGCTTAAGAGTCAAATGGATATAACTCTGTTAAAATAATCATACTTTTTCAGCACTTTCAACATCAAGGTTTTGACCAATCATACGCAAAAGACTCCATAAACATTCGAGATGCTCTTCATCAGTTTTATTACGAAATAAATATGCAGTAGTTTTATATACATAACTACTATGTAACATACGTAATTTAAATAGTTTACCCATAAAACTAAAATAAATAAAGATTAGTTTATTCATTATGTATCCTATGAAGTCTAGGATACACAAATCAACATACTAAAAGATTTGCATTAGTATTCGATAAATTATCTTAATAATAAATCAAATTTAATGTCAAAGCATTGTTTTGAAATAAAAAAATATTTTTTAATGATAGTCTAATCTTAATTTCAACAATATGTCATTAGAATCTTCATGTAACAAAAGAGAGATTGTTGATCAAAAATAGTTTTTAGATTGATGAGAACTTTTAACGAATCGAAGAAAATTACGGAAACGAAATCTGATTAATATAAAGAGACAAAATCCATAAATGTCTACTATTATATTGTGACTATGCAGAGATTTTAAAACAACAAATTCGAAGAACATAGTATTCGGAAAAGGTTATGGCATTCATATGGAAAATAATGTATATCTAACATACACACCCAGTGAAAAATATGAACTTCACGAGAGATGATAGCAAAATTATTATAAAAAACAATCTAGTTTAAGATACTTATCTATAGTTTTCTATTCAAACTTATTGTAACATATGACAATTGATATATTTCATCTCAAATATACATTAACAGTAGTTTAGAATTCATAAATCGAAATATAATATATTACAAAATCCTTAGTTTGACAGTATACGTAAATCAATCGTGTTTGATATTTTTATTCCCACGGAAGTTCTATTGGCAGATTTTTACTAATATCTTCAAAAATTTATTGGGTTTGAGACTATGAGTAAAAGTGTAATTCGAGCCTAAACTAAAACTTGTTGTCAAATGGTCTATGAATTAATCGAATTAGATTATATATCACGATAATCGAATTGAACTTGAGAAGAAATAATGATAAACAGTAGTATTATTAACATAAACACGAGTTTTTAAGACGTTTTAGATCGAATACGAATCAATTCTCAAATAATATTTGTTGAAATTAGAATTGAAACTAAAAACTTTTGATGCCGAACATTATAAAACAGGCAGTAATTATCAGTTCTATTCTGAAGATGAATTTAAATGTACAATTTTTATTGAAGACGTCATAATTCATCGATAGCACAACTTATTTTCCGCTTTTACTTATATAACTTTCTTCTTAAATATAATATAAAATTGAACTGTTGTCATCAATAGACATTCTAAATCTGTTTACTAGGGTTGATCAAGTTGAAAAATTTTGAACTCTATATCGATGGATAAACTTTATTGGAGCGTGAACTCGAACTTAATTCCGTACAAATATCTTTAACTCGTACTGTGAAAGTATAAGATGCTTGATGCGATTATTTGTCTTTGACGACTAATACACTCGAAACATCAGTTCTAATCAGTTATTACTCAAAGAGTAGCACTCATCGTAACAATCTAAATCCTATTTAGGATCGTTTTTGTTTTTGATATTAATTTATAGTTCGTAAATATAATTACATAATATTTTTTAAGTATCTTTGTTTATCTATAATAATGACTTCTTCTGATGTTTTTGTTTCTTCTGTATAATTTTTTTCAACTGTTACACTATCACTTGCAGAATTTTGTTTTTCAAATTCAATTTCTTGACTATGAACATTTTTGAATTCGTTTACACAATGTTTTATTAATATTCCATGAAAAGAACATTTCTTTATTTTACCATTATCATCTAGTTTAATAACTGTTTTCTAGGAAAAAAATTGAATTGAAATAATTATAGAAATATATAATATTAAAAAGTTACTCTTGCAAATTGTTTACATAAATTTGTATATAGAAAACTAGATGCCAGTTCATCAACAGCCTAAGAAAAAAAAAATATTTTTTTTTCAAAAAATTATATGAAAATAAACACAACTATTTACTTTCGAATAAAATAGCATAACCATTTTTTCTAATGTTTCATAACAATCAATATTTAATTTTTTCAATGTTTTTTTCAATTCATCATATGTTTGTGCTGTAACTTTATCCAATATTGATTCAATATTACTTAAAGTTATACTATTATCATCGATTTTATTTTGATCATCTTGATTAATATCATTTTTAAGATTAGAAAGATGTTTTGATATTGTTAATGGCGTTGAATTATCATGAATATCTATAAGTTTATTACTATCATTATTTACTAGTATTGTTGTTGTTGTTATTGATGGTGTAACACATTCTTCTAATAATATACTTGCTGATTGTGATTTTAGCTGATGTGAATTAATTTTTTCATTGATTTCAAGTATTGATTCTTCGTACTACAGTTAATCATAGAGAAAGTCAAAATATCGAGTTTCAATCGATTAACATACTTGACACTTTCGAGAACGTTTCCGTTTTCGTTTACGACGTTTAGTCTGTGTTACTATGTTTTCCTTCTAAAATAATTTATTAATTATGCATAAGTTTGAATAAAAAATTTTACATTTAAAAGTTTTCTTTTCTCTATGTTATGTCATTATGTTAGAAAAATGTATTGTAGATACTATGAGTAGATGATGCATGTAAACATGCTGTTCATCTATGCACTCATATACATAATATACTATTCTGCACATAACTACACTTATACCTCTACTTATTAACACTCCTATAGACATTATCATGGTTTTCGTTGGTCGAAATTTAAAATGAAATTTCGTTTAAAGATATTTCGCAGATTCAAATGTAATCTGTTTTTTTTGATAAAAGAAAACGAGATATTAAATATGCTAATTTTATACCTTATCTGTTTTAGTCTTGGAAGAATTTGATAATTCATTAGGCATTTTTAGTTGAGAATCAAATTGAATTTGTGTTTTACTTTTATCAATTAGTAATTTTTTGTTTGATATGACTGAATTTGTAGTTGTCAATTCCATTAAACATGTTTCATTTGATATATTTGTAAATAATGTATTGGTCGATGGTGTAGAAATTTCAATCTGTTTATGTGATATTGGATCAACAATAGTCAATGGTTTTCTCTGTCGTTTTTCTTTTGATACTGATGATCCAGATGAATTCAATTGTTTCATATTTTGTGCAATTGAAGACTGAAATGTTAATACAGTTTTTTGATTGTTCTATAAAAAGAGAAAACACAATTTTTGTTTTTTTGTTTTCTAAAATAAAAAATATTTTCTTTTCTATGTTGTAGTGTTTGTGTTTGAAGACTTTGTGTTTGAAGACTTTGTGTTGGATTTTGTGAAACACAAATAGCATATAATGGTTGTGGTAGTATTGATGCTTGAATAGATATTAGTGTTGGTATTTGTGATGTTGTAGAATTTGTCGATATTTGATCAGCTATTGAAACAATAAATAGAAATTTTTGTTTGAAAAAGATCTTTTTGAATAAATACTTGACATTAATGAAAAATTATTATTTCTTTGTATGCATGCTGGAGCATTATCATTTTGTGAAAATATTTGTGCAAAATCACTTATATTTTCATTCGGTGGTTGAAAAAGAGGAATTGATGAAAAACTCTATAGTTAGAAAAATTTTCTTTACTTTTTTTCAAATAAATTTTTCTTCTGTAAAACTAACGATGGGTAGTGAATTGTTTACAGGCATCCATGAAGATTGTGAAATAGTTGAAGGATAATAAAATTGTTGAAGATAATCATAAGGCATTAGTTGATTAACATACTTAAAATATGAAAGATTCATTTAAAATAGAAAGTCAAATATATTTAATTTACCAGTTGAGAATTCATTAATGATCCATTGGATTCTGATGTTTTTACAGGATCTTCTAAAACAATATAAAAATTTATAAAAATTTGAAAGAATAATTTTATGTTATTTTCATGTCATTATTTAGTACAGAAAAATCAGATATTAATGAGTATGATTCTTCTAGATTAGGAATAAGATTATTGTTGATCTGTATTAACCATGGTAGAGTATAAATATTTTAACGAAAGGAAAACACTCACATTCAAAGTCATTCATTTGTTACGTACACACCTCGACTCATCTTTGTATATTCTATTAAATGATTGAATCCAAATATCCAAAGAACCTTTATGAAGAATAAAACTAGCAAATGTCAGAGATATTCTTCGACAAAATCGACTATTAACTTCTATATAGTTCGATGAAGACTACAATATTAGCATACATGAATCTTTCTAGCAGTAAGTGTTATATAAAAAAAGAGAAGATTCCTCCGGACATTAAACAATCAAATATTTTCTCGAAATGTTTTTATTGAAAAGTTAGTTATTTCGAAAAGAAACTTCGAGTATGGAATTGAATAATAGAAGATAATAGTTTGATTTTAAAATTTGATGATAAATTTAAAATGTTTTGTAAATTCTAAAAAGAAAAACAAAGAAAAATTTTGATGATATTTCATTTTCTTAAAAACATCAAGTATGAATCGAAAATGAATGAATGTATTTGATAGAATTTATATTTTATATAAACACTTGATAATTTCAGTTTTAAATCAAATAAATTATTGATATGATGATGAGTTATCAGCATCAGATGAAACTAGAATTGATAAAAACAAAAGTGTCTTATTCTGAAATATTCTATAAGTTACATGTAGAAAAAAGATATAAAGGTATTGACGAAACTCATCAGTCTTATACATAGATTTCCTTAAATTATTCCTGCGCATGAAACGAGATCTATTGAGTTTAAAGAGATAGAGTACAGAAACAAATATTTTCATGAAAGATTAGATGTACTTAAAAGGATAACGACTGACTTATGCTCTCAATTACACACACACACACTTTTCGACGAAACTTCTATTTCTTTCTCTTTGAAAACATAAACAATGATCAAGCAGTGTGTAGTAGAAAAACCAAAACTATTTCATTGGATAAAAAGTTAAGAATATCAGTTTATAACAATAAACGCTAGCTCTTCTAACATTTCTGGTAGTACGATGTAAAATAAAAGTCAACCTTTAGTACGTTTCACGGCAGCATTATTTCTCGACGACAAAGAAATTAAAAATTATTATTAACTATACCTGATATTTTACATTAAAAAAAAAATCTATGGATATATTCACTTTAATCCTTTTTGCAGTAGAAAAATAGTACTGTATATTAAAAGAATGATTCTCTTAGTATTTTTCAGTCAGGTATGCAAAGCGAAATTTAATACTTATTAATAAAATTTCGGCTATTTTTTTGTTTTGTTTTACATATCGTGTTACTTTTAACTGTGGTATTCAATGACACAAATGCATACGGTCATAGAAATTGCTTTTTTTCTTGTTTTAAATTTTTCATTAGAATTATTTTGAACGAAATTTCTTAAAAAATCTCTGAATCTAATAGTTTTAATTTTAAAAGGAAATTTTGGATCACTCGTTGCTTATGTAAACGTCATGAATCTCATAATCAATTATCAAGGATTAGTTTTTGGTAAAATCCTTTGCCTAGTATTCTATATTTTATTAATTTGATTTTGAATCAGTGTTTATTACGGATTATAAATTTGAGTACTTTGCTTTAATAATGTGTTTCATGAAGTTGTCACTTCTTAGCGGTAAATATTTATATAGATCCGTTAATTTAGTGATCGTTTTTTAAAATGAATCATCTAATGGCTATAGTTAGAGATGGATGTAAAGTTGAATTTTAGCTTTAAGTTCCTTATCCTTAAACTAAACCATTAGAAGATTGAGAACATGCGAATGCGTTCAGATTGTTTAGGAAATAAATTTCAGAAACGTTTGATAAGTTTTTACCAAAGCAAAGCCATAATTCTTCCTTATCTATTGTATCTTATCCGTGATTTGACACATTTTAAAGCTCTTTTTGTTTTTTGCTAAACAGTCATTCAATCAAAATAAACATTATATGTTTGTAATTATCTCTTCAAATTCAAATTCAAATAAATATAATCCATCGATCTTTGGTAGATTCTTTACTTTTATTTGATTGGTTTCAATCTATATGTAAAACATAAAGAATTATCAATCTGGTTAAAGGATGAAGAGCGTAAAATTATTTGGAATAGCTTGAATCTATTATTTCATTAGAGGAAAAGATGACAACAATCTATGGCTATTCAGTTTTTTTCCGTCTTCAGATTTCCTCGATCATCAATCATTCTTGATTTCTTATTTAATCCTGTGTTTTGTGTTCCAAAGAAATTATTGCAATTTAAAATAGAAGAAAATACGATTGAACAAAAAATCAAACGAATTATTATTATTTTTGTTTCAATTACGCCTCTCTGACATTTTATAATTATTTAACTTAATTTATAAACATTTCAAAAACATCTGCTATCTTCTTCCGTACATTTTATAATAGAAGAACAAAATAATACATGTATAATGATTTATAAATAAGTTACCTTGTTTCTCTGAAATTGTAACACGCTTGAGAACACCATCAACAGCTGCTTTTAGTTCATCGATGCCGTCGATGTTATATTTATCTATGATGGGTGGTTTCAATTGTTTCAAACTTTGAGCTACTTCTTCAATGTTGTTGGTCAATTCCTCATTCACTTGTAGTAGCTTTACGAGATTCTTATTCGAAAGAATTTCTCTGCATTCTTCTTGATAATAATCAAACTTCTCCTTTTTCAACAATAGTTGATCTTGATAATCCTCAAACATTTTGTCTTTGTTTTTGTTCATCTCATTAATCTTTTCTCCTAACATTCTCTCATACTCATTGATTAATATACGTATAGATGTAAACACTTCAGTAATTTTATCTTTATAAATGTGTTCACTTGAACTGATCATTTGTTGCACATTTTTAAAGGTTTCTTCAAAAGATGATTGTGTACATTGAAGTTCATTCTTTAACTAAAATTTATGAAAGCAATTTTATTTAAGAAATACATACGAAAATTAAATACTGACCCTTTCTACTATATCTTCTACTATATCAATAATATCTATAACACTATGGTTGTTGTGATCAACTATTTGACAATTATGACAGACTGTTTTCTTACATTCATAACACCAGTACTTTTCATTTTCATCTGAATGTATTTTGCATCGCATCAGTTTCCATGGTCTTTTATCAATGGGTATCCTTTCATGTGTTCTCAAAGTTGGTATTTTATGAATAATATGACTACATTTCAAACAATAACTTTTATTGCACTCATCGCACCAAATTCCAGCTTTTAAAGAACATTCATTGAAACATTTCATAATAGCTATAATCAAAGAAAATAATAGAAGAAATACATATATTAAACTACAAAGTATTTTACAAAAGAATACATGAAAGTTTTGAAGAAATAAAAAAATATAAAGATTCTAATAATGAAATGAACACATTTATGTATGCTTCTCGAAATTATCAATCATTTTTAAATCTTTTATTTGAAAAAAAAACACATGAAAATTATGTTATTAAAATTATATTAAATACATCGAAATTATGACATTAAAGTATAATCATGCAGTTCTTTTTTGCTGTTTTACAGTCATGTATAATAATTTCACTTCAGTGGAGTCTTAAGCTAAATGATGTGGTATTAGCATACTCCATTTTTGAAGAATGAAATGTGTAAAAAAAAAAAAAAAAAGAATAAACTATACATAAAATGTAAATTCATTATGTGTTACCATTCTATTTTCAAAGAAGCCATTGTGTTACATCATGTAAAATTCAAGGAAATCATTTATTTACGCATGTGAAAAAATGATAAAAACTTTGTTGATCTGGAATTCTATCGTACGAGACTGTTGTAAAAGTTATGAAATGATTTTACTTATTTTTTGTTTTTGAAATGATCCTATTCAGGAGAGTCGTTTCTAACAAATTATTCTCAGAATAACTATTAAGATGAGATTCTTTTTTTCATTTTTAATTTACTAAGATTATGCATGATCCTGAATCTGTTAATATAAGACATTGAGAGATAACTGATAGTGTTTTCAAGGTGACATAACATATTCTGAATTAGAATTCAATGAAAATACAAGCTCACATACTTTTTCGGTTACGATCGGTTTTTTACAGAATCGGTAACAATACTTCAATCATATTACGTATGGCACGATTAATCGACAAAGACTCGATGTCATTCCATTACGGTAGAGATATTCAGACTAATCATTACTCTTAGTGGCTACATTATGTTATAGATATGTGAGTAAGCGTATTCAAAATAGATCAATAAACTAGACAAGACTTATAGCGCACATGTGATCAAATACTTGAAGAATAGATTTGTACCTGGACTATTTGATGCCATATTACATAATCAATAATGTTACGTTTGAAGAGTATTATAATCTAAAAGGAAAAATAAAAAATACTTTAAAGAGTCATATTGACTAAAATAATGAATTTAAACGACTCCAGCCATTGTTTAAAACCGTAATAGATAAGCTTCAAGTTATCTATAATCATTTTTAATAATTGAAATCGAAGTTTTCCGAGTTGTAATATTTTTCTGGATTTAAGTTTATTAAGCTCGATTACAATTTCTAATTTTATTTTTACTATCAATTAATGCTCTATCATTGTCCCATTGTGTTCATAAAATAGTACGGAGTTTTTATAACACTGTGCATACGACTATGTAAATCTACTACTTTTGCTGAGTTAAATAGAACATCTTTCACAGTTTGAAAAAGTTGTTTGAATGAATAATTTATCTAATACGAACTAAACAGTATTTCTTTCAAAGATGTCTTTTTAAACAATAACTTTCATATCTTAAAGTGAAATTAGATACCGAAATGAATGATGAATTTGAGATTTTAAATGTAAATATAATTGGAATTGAAAAAGAAAAAAACCTATCGACAACAATATGGATATCATTAAGCCACTTGGTAAAATCTCTTTAGTCAAACTTATTTTTATCAAAAGTCTTCATTCGATTGGTATTTCTATTTGAGATTTGAGATAGAAAAAAAATATCAGAGATAAACGTTTATCAATAAGCAATTATTGAACAATTATAGAGTAATATTCATCAAAAAGTTCTCTACAACTTTCTACTTCTCTTCCTAACTATTTTCAGATTATTCAATTTTCATTGTCATAGAGATAGGTGGATCTATATGATATAACTCTCGTGAATGTTGAAGCAATGGTTGGTTGCTAGAAAATTTTGCTATCTTTCCTAAATATTTTTTTGCTAAACAAATCTTTCATTCTCGCTCGAAGGTAGAGGCTTTAAGTTAGCACGTGCATCTTTAAAGGTCTGAAGTATTGCTTAGCCAACTGTAAATTTCCACTGCAGCCATAAATATTAAAGGATATCCATAAATTTTATGATACATCATGGCACATATGACTGGTCTTGTAAGCTTTTTGCTTTGTCTCTCATCGATTCCAGTGAGATTGAAAGCTATTTTCCATCATCTAGCGAGATAAGTCACTATCATGAAACTTTTCTCAAGTACCTAACCTATTGGTAATTTCTTTGACATGATTGTATCACATCTAAAATATTCCTCTGCGATCATAGAGTTTTCACATTCATTTATAGACATTCCTCAAATACCGCAAGTTTTGTTATAACATTCATAGATGATTGGCTTTCAAAACATTGTGACACGATAAATTTCAATGTCACTTAAAGGATACCATTCGATAACATAAAAACTTACGTGGTTACTCTGACATATCAGCTGATTCTCTGAAATTGTCGTTGTTACATTTACATATTTGTTGAGATCCAAAAATATTTACTTTACTAGAATGATTTTCATGGGTAGTGCGTAGCAAAAGTTTTCATTGTCTCCGAAATAGATTTATTAATAGCTTAATGGGTGGCGCAGCTATTTGTAAGCTATATATACAGGTCGATTACGTTATTTTTACTAGTTTTCTTCAGCTTACTGTATTTCTGCAAAATATAATACGCTTTTTATTAATATATGACTGGATAGAGCATTCATTTCTCTATCGATCGGTATATTTTTTATCTGATTTATCTCTCATCTTGACCAAGAATTTAGCGAAGTTCTCAAAGCCCTCAAAAATTTTTTTTTACGGTGATAACGTTTGTCGCAAGGAAAAATTGGGTCTCTTAGTATTTTTAAGATTTCTCCTCTATTACCCTTGTGATTAAAGTTCTTTTTATTATCAAAAGATAGCGCTTGAAATTCTCTACAAAACTATATATGACTAGGCCCAAAAACAGTTTTAGATATATTTGAAAAAAGACGAAAACTAAAGACATACAAACAGCTGTAAAAAGTAAATAACGTATGTCCCATAATAAATGGCCGCACTTTGCATTTCATATTTTAATCTCTAAATACACTTTATTAAAAAAAACACAATATATCACAAGATGCAGCGTGAAAAGCTCTACAATCTAGAAACTAAAGTTTATTTTAATTGTACACTTTTTGTTTTCAAAAAAAAGCAAAACTCTGCGACCAATTCTGCCATTGTGAAAAGATCATTTTTTTTATATGAATGAAAATTCCTTTTTCTTATTTTCTCTTTTTATCACCTAATATGTTTCTTTTAAAAAAACCAAAATATGCCACAAGATGTAGCGTGAAAAGCTCTACAGTTTACAAAGCACAATTTATTTTACTTGTGTACTTTTTATGTTCAAAAACACTCAAAACTCTGTACGACCAATTTTCGCCGATGCGAAAATTAATCGCACAGAGTTTTGAGTTTTTTTGAACATAAAAAGTACACAAGTAAAATAAACTTTAGTTTCTAGATTGTAGAGCTTTTAACGCTGCATCTTGTGGTATATTTGTTTTTTAATAAAATGTATCTAAAAATTAAAATACGAGATGCAAATTGCGGCCATTTATTATGGGTCGCGCATTTACTTTTCACAGCTGTTTGTATGTCTTTAGTTTTCGTCTTTTTTCAAATATATCTAAAACTGTTTTTGGGCCTAGTCATATATAGTTTTGTAGAGAATTTCAAGCGCTATCTTTTGATAATAAAAAGAACTTTAATCACATGGATAATAGAGGAGAAATCTTGAAAATACTGAGGCCCATTTTCCCTGAGACAAACGTTATCACCGTAAAAAAAAATTTTTGAGGGCTTTGAGAACTTCGCTAAATTCTTGGTCAAGATGAGAGATAAATCAGATAAAAAATATACCGATCGATAGAGAAATGAATGCTCTATCCAGTCGTATATTAATAAAAAGCGTATTATGTTTTGCAGAAATATAGTAAGCTGAAGAAAACTAGTAAAAATAACGTAATCGACCTGTATATTCTTCAAGGTTCTTTTGCTTTGTTAACACATTTCTCAGTTTATGGGAAACTTAATCATCATGTAAATACATCGATGGCTAACTAGAAATCTTTCGTGATGTCTTTTTAATATCATCGGATCGTTCAATATTTTTCTAAACACGCTGAAAGATGAATAGATGTAGTAAAATTTTGTCGATTCTTTGACATTATGTGCGGCTACAGTGTATTTGGCATCGACAAAATTTACTCATCAGTTGTTTGAAGCTATTTTCCGCCAAGAAAGCATTTTGATGAGTCGTATTCAGTTATCTCTCTTTCTTCATATGTATTCACTTTTATGTCTAACTATATTGACGTACATCTAACGCACTGTTGTGTGGCACGATTTTCTTTATAAACATCTAGTCGGGTAGAAGATTGGTCTCAAGCTTTATGACTTCCTTGTGACCTATAGTTTCGCTTTATCTAAGACTGTTTGACTCGATCTGGACACACCCATTGAGAAGTCTTACAGATCTCTATGTGGCTTTAAATATGTTGCTGTCAATCTTGTGATTTTCTTTATCGCTTGTAACTTTATGTTGATATCCTGCGGATGGCTCAATGATTAAGACTTCGGTATCGTTACTAGCACTTGTGTTTGTGAGAAAATGTCTTTTTTGCTCTAACTCTCATCGGTTATGCTTATAGATTTCTCTATTGTTCGATGCTCTTTGGGCTTATTTCTATGGATTGCTTCATATTACCATGCTTGGAAATGAGTAGAACAGTTGAATTTGTCCACACTAACTTCGAAACATGACCACATGATCCAAAGTTTTTTCTATCAGTTTCGCTCATTGGTGATCAAAATAAACCTATTTCATCAATATTTTCACACATTGTTCCATGGCGGATAATGATCAATATTTAATGATCTACATAACTGTGCAATATTCAAAGTCGTCACTCTAATTTCTCCGCATAAGTAAGTGAATAGAAACATTCTAACGACAATGCTACTTATTTTTTTTTGTGATCGGAAGTTTGTCTTCTTTATTAATATGTATCGATCTTTGGTTAATAGATTTTGAACTTCATTTGTGTAAATTGATTATTGATCGAATACTTTTTCATAGTTATTCCTACCCTAGTTCAAAGTCTACCATTGTTTTCATGTACCATATTCAAATGATCTCGCTATATTTGTAATTGAACTCACTGAAAATGATGAATAGAGTTGGAAACAAAGGAAGTAGAGACAACAGATTAGATATAGAGAACAATGATTGCGATGAATGAAAAGTTCAAATAATATCGGACAACTGAGAAAAACTGAATGAGTACAATCGGTAGCCGATATACAGAGACAAATTAATCAACTTAAGTCAATTTGACTATGGGTAACATTGTCATATTTATTTCAATCGTTTTTCATATTCTCAGTGTCTTTATCCTATGTACATAATATTTCAAATAAGTTCTTTTTCTTTTCGAATCTTCTTAACAATGTACTCACCTCAGTCAGACAATTGAAACCAAAACGTTCTGTGTGATACGATGGTCTGTCGTTGTTGACTGAAGTTTTTTTTGCGTCCTACACTGTTAGTTTGTTGTTTTTCGAATAACGCGTATCTTACTTTTACTGCGTGACAAGCGTATATCTTCTGTTTTTGTTTTTTTTTGTGTCTTTTTATTCTTATCAAATAATCACACTTTTGCGAAACATTGCATATATCAACTGTAAAACATTGCACATGAAGAGTGATGACAAAGAAGCAAAAAAAACTTATACTAGATTAATGAAATTTTTAAATTAAATTGAATTTCAATCGAGGGTGTGGGTATCGGTGTGGATGTTTGCTTGGAAGAGATACACATCGACGACCACATCCACATCTACACCCATACCCACCCACACCCCACCCTTCGTTGAGGTTAGGCTTCGCGTTATATGAAGGACTTCCGAGTAGTCCTTAAAAGCTCGGTCAGGGACTGTCTTGGTGTCCGTGGCACACGACCGGGCCTGCGCCAGGCTCTTTGATACATCTCTGATGTGAATGATGAGAGTCTGTCCCGTGTGTGCATGAGCTTCACGCTCGTCACGGCTTCACCAGAATGGTTCCTGGTCGCGCGCGCGTGCCAATAGCATAGTTATGAATTCTTTTTTATTTAATCTGGATTTATTTGTAAGAGAAATAGAATCAAAAAAAAAGTAATCATCGTACTGAGTTTATTCGATATTAAATTTTTGTACTCGATCATTGTTGTAATCGGCGACATAGAGATTGCCATGTCGATCGAATGATAAACCCATGGGATAACTGAGTTGATTCGACTGTGTTCCATTATCGTTTCCACCAACAATGACACTTCCCTGTGTGGCTCCTTTTGGCCAACGCATGATTCGATGATTCCTCCAATCAGCTACATAGACAATGCCCAATTGATCAACAATGACTCCTCGAGGATCATCCAATTGTGTAAGACTATTTCCTTGCCCTTGACCACCGGCTACGACAATGCCTTGTTTTGCACCTTCTTCCCATTTCATTACACGATGATTGTTACGATCAGACACGTACATTGAATGATCTCGATCGACAAATACGTAGCAGGGACCAAAGAGTTGATCAAGACGATTTCCTTGTCCATTGCCACCTGCAACCACCATTTCTTCAGTGTCACCAATTTGATATCGTCTCACTTCATATTTTCCATAGGCGACGACATAGAGAGATCCATTCTCATCCATTGTCAAACCTCGGCAATCGATATTTGAAATGATAGTTTCTCCACTGGTACCATTTCGACGAGGCCATCGAACTACTCTTGCATTACTTAAATCGGAGATAATGAGACTATCTCTCTCTTTGTTAACAATCACATCGTATGGGTAGTTTAACTGATGAGCTCCATTTCCTTGTCCATTTCCACCGGCAACCACTTGGCCAGTCGTTGCACCACATTTCCATTCCACAATACGGTGATTAGAGTAATCAGCGACGTAAATCGTTTGATCATCATCGACATATAAACCACATGGGTTATAGAGTTGATTGATTCCACTGCCTAGCCCATTTCCTCCGGCGACAGTGAGACCATTCTGTATCCATTTTGTATTCGGACGGAT